GTTTGAAACGTCCGGCTGTAGCATGAGCTTTCGTGGATTTAGTCTTGAGTGAATTTAACATGGCTGTAGATTCGATGGTGGACGGCATGGATTAAGTGGCGGCGCGAATGTCCTGATATTGTCCACAATATGCCCGCACATCTTTGAACGTCGGGTTGGATAGATTCAGAAGTTCATTTTGCGAAACGGTATTGTTAATGCCAGTGATCAGCCAAACTTTCAATTGCATGTCCAGTAAGTCTCCAAAATCATACTTTGCTGCTTGAGTGAGCAAATCCAGGATGAATTCACGGATGCCCTGATTCGGACTGCGTACCACTGAATGAAATTTTGCTCGCTCTGAGACTTCAAAGTTAGTTGGCTTCACATGCTGTAGGAGGATGAATGTTAAATCATCGTATGGTACAGAAACAGGTGGAGAAGGATAAGCCAAGTACTTGATTAATGTGTAATTATTTTTACCGGCAGCATTCAAAAAGAAAGCGGATTTATTTTCCTCATCGGGCTTTGAACGGGTCAACCATCAAATCTCAAAACGTTCAAAATAATCCTCGATATCGCGTGCACTGCAGTTAAGCTCAAGGGATTTTAGTGGAGTAGAATTCATTGTTCAGTACACCGGCCGCGACGCCAAATGTAGTATTGGGAATAGTATTCGAAATTGGGTTCCAGAAGTCGCGCAAAACCAATCCCCGAAATAGAACAACTTCGAATCGAATAGCTCACGAACTTTATTTGAATCGTATACTATGCATATTCAATGCATTTAAAGTGTACAAGGAATTTCGAGGTCAGTGTCACACATCACACGTAAGCGTTCTTCTCCGGCGGTTTAAGAATAATATCCCTAATGGCGGACATTCGATAGCCAGGGATTGCTTCTACCGCGTAAACGTATTTGGAGCGCTAGCTCCTCACGTTACGGGTGATAAACTGCGTTTCTAACGCAGTAAACGACACCTCAGGGTCGTGAGGGAAGCTACTGGCTTAAAACTAATAGCCAATAGGTCCAGTTCCCTATCGTCTACTGGCGGAGGCTCCTCGGTCATCGTACAAATGCGATAAATAATTATATCGTGCAAATGAAAAATTAACCGTGAGGAAAAAGTGCAAACCAAAATGGATTTGACTTACAAAGTAGACGATGCGGGCTCACCAATGAAGTTAACCGGTGTTGACGGCCTGCCGGTAAGTCTTCTTACGAGTCTCAAAGTGCGCACGACCTCCTAGTGTCTCGTTACCCGAGGTAGACAAAAACACTCGTGGGAGTCATAGACGTTTATTAGCGAATCGTGTTACTAAATAGTACCGAAACGTGCCGGTGTGACGCTAAACAATGCAAGCAATAAATGCAGTAAGAAAGCGAAAGCGTGTCACACGTGTTGCGTGGGTTTGAACAGGACCCAGCTTATATATACACCTGAGAGGAAAACCGTGCTCAGTAAAAAAAAAAGCTGAAGTAAAACAAAGAAGTGTCACAGTTAGAGTCAGAGTTGCTTCTGAAGAAAATATGAACGGAAAACGTCCCCGTGGATTGTTCCTTTTCTTCGTTCCATCATGGTCACTACAGATATCATGTCATGCTTTTGTGAATGAGTGACTCAGGATATCCTTTCTCTAAAAAAAACATTGGGTAGTCGTCCCAGGTCATGGTCGGCAGAGTCCGAAGAACAAGGTTTCTCAACTCTATTGGTTGAGCAGCGAATCAAACTTTTATTCTATGGCAATGGGACGAAACTTTGGTAGTGTGCGTACTGTCCCCTTCAAGTTTTCTTACGGTGAATGCTTCTACGAATGGAGCCATCTGAACGTCAAGACAATAACATGTCAAGAAACGTGAGATCACTTGTGGATTCCTTTTCCAGCATGAACGCTAGTTTCGGATTGAATTCCATTCCATTGAATTTCCCCAACAGAATATCAGCATCGTAAACACATAGAATGTAATTCACATGTCGTTTGTAGAATGGGATTCTTCTATGGGTTTTGAGAGTACTCCGTTTTCTAATTTCGCCTTGAAAATGTCTGCTAATAGTGGTCCTAATTGCGAATCCATGACTATTTCATCCTTCTGTCAATAAGTTGCACCAATAAATGGAAACAGTGTGTTATATGTGCATGGATAAATCAGTCACTTGAGCTCCGCTACGGGTATTCCAACACAAGTTTCTTAATTTTCTATAAAATTAGCGATGAATTCAACGGTCCCTTGAATTGGCACATTGGTAAACAGTGAAAGAACATTATGTGTTTCGTGTGACGTGCGGGAGCCCAATTTGTGTGCTCTCAATTTTAGTGGATTTTCTGTGTCAAAATTCGTCGTACAAAGTCGAGTCTGCGCACATTCGACTCAATTCGGTGAGCTTCATCGTGTGATATCACTCTCCTGGATATATACCCTACGTGTAATAAGTTTCCACCGTTCAGAGTGAATTCTCCATCTAATTCACGCGCATAAGCTTCTTCAAGTTTCCACGCTATATCTTCATTGTGATATCATATCGTGTCTGCACGTGTCCTTCCGTCCATCTCCGGTTGCGCCGATCGATACGTCCCGGTTACCCCAGTCATTGTCTTGAACGCGAACTTTTCTCACTGACGTGTGGTTGACTCAGCCAAATCGACACCGCTTCACTTGACCTTTATCAACACTCCCATCTCGCCGTTCACAGTGTACGAAAAATGGGTCACCGAAGTTTGTCAACGTAATTAGTCACACAAGGTTTGAGTGTGTGCGGCTCAGAAGGCTGAGGAAAGGTCAAAACAGGAATGCCATGCACATACTGCCAGAAAAACTTTCATGCCGCATGTGCCAATCTATCGATTAAGATGAAACAGATACTGGCACAACAGGGCTGCTTTTGGTTTTGTAGCGATTACACGAAAACTCCGGTTGTAAAATACATGATGGGAATTGAAAATAGGTTCTTACTTAAAAATTTTAGTATTAGAAGAAGAGATAGCTACCCTGAGCTCCCAGATCCCTCCGTCGAGCCCAATCCAACGACCGGCTAAACGTCCAAGGTGTTCGTTAATCAACACCGTTCCAACGCAANAGCTGCGGAGGATAAAGCTAACTTAAAAATTTTAGAATTGGAAGAAAAGAGCTACCCTGAGCTCCCAGATCCCTCCGTCGAGCCCAATCCAACGACCGGCTAAACGTCCAAGGTGTTCGTTAATCAACACCGTTCCAACGCAATATATGACCTTTACCGACATAAACATGGTTTCCACTGTAACGAAAGACGTGGTAAAAGTTCCTGAACAGAAAAAGGTCCCCCTTCAAACGAAACCTGTCATGTCCACACCAGGGCCTTCGAGACTGGGAGCAGCACCGCTTTGACAATTATCTGCACAAATGTACTCGAACCGACAACCCAACCATTTAGAGAACGCCCTTCTATCTCATGTTAGCGCACCCACCATTGAATCTTTCAAGCAGAGACTCGATGAAACCTTGGCACACCTCACATTCGTACACCACTAAAGCAAACTCACTGGAGCATACATTCTCCATTACCTCCTACCCGGAACTCTATGTGGCTCCTTTTTCGACGTGTAACGACTCATCTGTGTAAATATCCTATGGGAACAAGAGATGCACGAACTTGTAAATTATGCTCATAATAAAACTTTGACTTTTACCTGTTTATTGGTTCTATTGCATTTAGCCAGTTGATGTAACCCCGAAAACGAGCTTGTTTCTTATTTCGTGTTCTCCTGACTACTCAATCGTGATTCACTTAACATCTAAAAACAAGCTGGTTCACAAATCTTTATTCTCCCGATATGCCCTAAGAAAATATTTTTACCACTTCCCACAAAACCAATTGAGGAGACTAAGCGTATACTCTTTTCTCTTCTCAATCGAAAGGTATTGACATTCGGAATACCTTTTTGTGCCCGTTTGCAACAGGCAGATAGAAAACTTCAACCCATGTAAACATTTGTCCACGTACGTTAGTGTGGCAGACCTAGCGACACTGAAGTTAGCTTATTTATCGGTTCTGTCAGACACGTTCGGTGGAGTTTACGATACCCACCGCATTGGAAGCTAGACTACAGACGGGGCACTATGAGAGGTTGTACGTCAGCTCATCGAAATTCTCTAGTTTATTCATATATTGCCGGATTCGTTATCAACAGCTTCTGCTACTCTACAATGGAATTAGGTAAAAATCCCTTTATCGTTTGTTTCAGCCTCGTTAGTTGACCAGTTCGTCTTGCGTCGCACAAATCCAAAGCAACTATACACACACACACACACCGTGATATCAGCATCGGTTAGTGATTTTCGGTATACGATGATCAAGTACTAAGCATATTCAATCGTCTATGGTAGCAGTTGACTAATCACCCTCCCCGACAGTGCTAACATACTCGCTGCAGCACTACTGTTTAAGGACAATCTGGAACAAAACGGTGGGCTGATTTGGAGATAGCGAACCCCATGACACTGGATTTGTAGTGGTGTTGACTTTACGAAGAAAAGCAGCAATTTGTGCTTTTTTATGATCACCCGTGACTCGAACTCTGTTACTACTTTCTCTTTCACTCTTATACTTGTGTTTAACTGAGCACAAACTTTCCCTCAGGTGTATACATAAATTGGATCCTGTTCCAACCCACGCAACACGTATAACGCGGTTTCGCTTTGCTAGTGCATTTATTTGCTTCCACTATTCAGCTGTCTCACAGACACATTCAGTACACTCCGGCACCACGATACGCTTGATAAAAGTATCGGATAAGCACGAGTATTCATTGTCTACCTAGGGTAAGGATACATCTGGAGGGCGGGCGCATTAGGAGATCGGCAGGAAGTGCAATCAACCCATTCGCTCATCGACTAGCTTCACACATCATGACATACTAGTAAGTTAATTCGGGAACAGTTTATAGGCACAATTCCACTACCATGATCTGGATGAAAAACGGCATGTGCATGCTGTTGCATAAATTTTATTGGTTGCACTGTACATGTCAGAAGAATTGTGCTCTCAAGTGCTTGGTGGCACAGCACTATCTAAACCAAGATTCCGTTCCAGTTCAAGAATGGCTTGCTCGATTTCATAGTTCTTGCCTACAAGACCGACCCAAGTTTCTTCTAACTCTGTCAGACGCTGACCGGCCGTTGTTTGCTCCTGTTTTCGACGCCAATTGATCTCTTGAATTCGTCGTCTGTGAATGGGGAAGGAGGCAGAACAATGCACGGTACGTTAAACAGACAACTGGTCCACTTGATGACACTGAAAATACATTTTCAGAATATTAATGAACGCCACACAGTAGTCTGGTGATACTAATTGCATGGATCGTACTCCATAAATTGAACGAGGCCGATCAATTGCTCGAATATACCCCCCTCCCAAATTCAGTAATGGTGGAGGACGCTGATCTGCCTCAAGAGAGACAATGCGACTCGTGTGGAAATCACGACAGGTAGCAAATTTGTCGCGCTCATTTTTGTTCAGCACCATTTTTTATTTATTGTATTGCATTGCTTTTTGTTCTTGATGACCTCTTTCACCTGTTCCTATCTATTTTCACTTCCCCAATGTTTAGCTGAATCTAGCACTTATGTAATTATTGTTGTTGCGTTGGCGCCATACTTTTTCCAAAGACAATTCTCTTCCACTTTTATGCAACCTTATCCTTTGTGCCGATCAGTTCATTAAGGGGGATAAATCTATGAAGAATCTTAGACATACGGTACAAAGCGAAGTTCCTTGTACCACTCAAATATACCCTCCGAGCACTTTTAGCCCTTGCACAGCTAACTGTGAGACAACAGGAAGGTGTTGGTTTGATTCAGTGACTGGTCATATTCGCGCACACTGCAATGCTTTCGATGGACATTCAAGGAGTTTTGTGATGAAGAGTGATTGCGTGCTGGGAAAAATCCCGCACACATCGCCACTGACCGTTCGCGACCAGTTATTCAGTCAGACAATAATCAACTATTCACGGGTAACCAGTTGAGTGTTCTTTCTTCTATTCGCGACCCGGAGGGTTATCGGGTAACGTACAAGTCTGCTGGGTGTAAATTTGTGCTGGTTGTAGCATGAGTAGTTTCCTGTGGTGAGAATAGTTGTCAACTCCCACTGCAAACACATCAACTGTACCTTAATCAATGAGACTTAAAAGAGTAAGCAAGTTTACCAAAACAAGTGCAACCGTCTTCGGATAGGGGCAATAAATGACGGGCTTTGATTGAATGAAACAAACGGAGAAAGTTATTTAAACTGTCAAACGGAAACCGATATAAAATCAGAAAAATATACACTAGAAAATTCATTTAAATGCAGTGGAAATGTTTGTGATAACCGACGAACAGCACTGGACAGCTGTTTTGTTCTATTTGGGACTCGTCAGCAGTGTGTACTTTTTGTGTCCCCGTCAGGACTCGAACCGCGAACATTTAGGTCGGGACTTCAAACCCTTACCACTGAGCTACACGGTCGACGGTTATCACCTTGTGCGAATGGCTCAATCAATTTAGATGGTCAATGTTTGGATTAGCCCATTCGGTTTTCACAGGCACCAGGCACTGTTGATGATGTTCGGTATGGAGAATTACGATCTTCCAAGGAGTGAAAAACACACCGAACATCAACAGTGTATGGTGCTTGTGAAAAACCGAATGGGCTAATCCAGACATTGACCATCTATATTAGAAAATTCACTTTATTCGACCCGACCCACCGCAAATGTTAAACAATACACTCACGCTTTACAAAGGCGCACCAGTCAGAGGCAATCAAAAAAGGAGCAGTCACTGGCACGAAACAGTATTACAGTCGACAGTAGTACATGACTAAAGTGCAAACCGAGTTACTAGCAGATAGTGTTTAGTAACTAACTCAAGAGGTGAGAAAGGGGGCTTCCCAAACGGGCACCTGAGACACTGGGGTATGACATACTTCGGAGTATTGAAAATCGGACCTCGTAGCTCGGGTGAACTAAATTCTATTTCGCCTGTTCGCCGAGCTTGGCTGCACCTCATCAACATTGTACAACATTGTGAAGTTCGCTTCACTGATCGCTGCCAAGCTCACAATGTATACAAATTAAGTGATAAAGCACAAGCTGGAGAGGGATTGGGCCTAATTGGAGGGAGATAAATAAAGTGAACCTCTGTGGCTATCACAGAGCACGCAATCAAAACTCAAATTCTGGCCTGATAAGAAAAGACAGCAAGAACGCCACTGCTGTCGGTTAGTCACCATATCCTTTAATGTCTTCAGCCAACCAGTTGTAGTCTTTCGGACCCCAACCTGGAAGACGGGAGACACCGATTCTACCTAATTACTCTGAGCATTTCTTCATGCCTCGTTTCCACGTCATCCGTTGACCTCCACGTAGTTTCTTCCAACCTGGAGGCGCAACTCCGAATAAGGCGCGGTGCGGCAAACGATAGCTGGGCATGCACAATACGTGTCCTAATCAGCGAAGCCGACTAATCTGAATTCGATGGAACAACGAATTCTCCATGGAATCATTACCAAATACGCGATGCCTCACCTCAGAGTTGCTTACAAGCTCGCTCCATCCAACCCGCGCCAAACTACGCAAACATCGGCAGTCGAAGACTTCAAGACGACGAATATCTTCACCGTGCAAATTTAGAGCCTCGCAACCAGAGAGCAGAACTGGCCGCACACTGGCGCAGTAAACACGACCTTTCAGTTTCAACGAAACATCGCGTCTACACCAAAGGTCATTCAGTCCTGCGTACGCTGCTCGAGCCTTGGAAATGCGGGCGGTTACTTCATTGACTATGTTACCGTCATTTGAAACGCAGCTACCTAAGTAGGTGAAACATTCCACTACGGCCAATTCTTAATCATCAAGCATCAGCGCTGGGGTAGACGACACCCAGTCTTGCAGCATTACTTTGCACTTTGAAGGTGCAAAGCTCATGCAGAAAGGAGTCACAGAACTTGCTAGTCTGTCAAGGGCGCTTTGCGCATCCACCATGCATTCGAACAGGCATACGATGTCATCAGCGTACTCTAAATCGCACAGCTTTTCTCCAGCTGCCCATTCAATACCTACGTTCTGGAGACCAGTAAGTGCGTTCTCCAGTACTTCGTTTACGATGAAATTGAACAGGAATGGCGAAATAAGGCACCCTTGGCGAACGCCGCTGCTGGTGACGGATAGCCTATTTAGCTCATCATAGACCCTCACACAACCAGAGGTCTGTGAATACAGTGACCTCAGTAAGTTAACGTACTTCTGGGGCATTACTTATCGAAGATAGGAACCTATCAGAGCTTCACGGTCAAACGAGTCGAGGGCTTCTTTCAGGTCAAGGAAAACTGCAATCGTTAGTCGGCGGCGGGTGTGACGCAGCTCAAGAACCTGACGTAACGTAAAAATCTGATCAATACATCCACGGTCATGTCGGAACCGGGTTTGTTGTTCACGGATGTTTGTCTCTCTGAACGGTGTCAGACGTCGAAGTGTGATGAAGGCTAGTAACTTGATGACGATTGGGATCAAACTTATTCCACGGTGGTTAGCTCAGTTGTCGCGTGATCCCTTCTTAAACATTGGAACAATCAGTGATTTCCTCCAGGATGATGGAATGTGCTCGTGTGACCAGATGTTACGCATTGTATCAGTATTGGAGTCTACGAGGTAATCGCTCCTCACCCCAAATTGAAAAGAGTGGGAGGAAGCCCGTCCCGTCCTGCTGCTTTTCCCTTCTTCAGGGTTGCGATGCAAGAACGAACTCCTGCTGCAGTAGGAGGTTTAGATAATACTGCCCACGGAACCTCAGATACACCGGAGGAGATATCCTGGTTAGCACCTAGCCAGCAGAACTGTTCGTTGAAGAACTCCACCCACCGGTCTAGTCGTTGTTCCCTATTGTGAATAGCTTGTCCACTTTTGTCGCAGATTGTTTCACAAACTGTGGTTCGTCGACCCCCCGTATTGCGTACCAGTTGGAACAGTCTTTAACTATTCCCTGATGCAGCCGCTACTTCCATTTCACTAGCTATCGTTGCTCACCAGTTCTCACGGTCTTTCTTGAGGCTCTTCTTCAGTTCACGTTGCAGACGCCGCCTAACCCTGTCTGGATCCAGGGTGGGTGTGATTCACCGCCTTTTCTCCATCAGTGCTACTAACTCACCAGATACACGATATCTCGGACGGGCTTGAAGCTCGGGGCCACAAGCTGCGGAGTGTATTGCATGTCTAAATTGATCCCATTGTTTATCTACAATACCACGCTGGAAAGCGTTTAGCTCTAGCCCTAGTTCTGATTCAAAGCAGACATGAATGGCTAGGTCAGATAAACGACGAACTATTAACCAAGTTTGGTGGGTCTTTCGCTTCCAGTGAGTCGGAGTGAACTGCATCAAAATTCATGCGTGATCAGATTCAACACAGCCGATCTAATACGAGCTGCAATTTCGCATTGGCAAACAGAAGACAGAAGACAACGATGAAAATTCAATGCCGTTTTTATAGATAAGAACTTTGCTTCCAAAAGCCTCAGTATGATAGGGCGTGGGAGTCTAGGGTTGCAGCAGGTCATCTTTCCCTTGCACCTCGCGAAATACGCCCATAAGACCAAGCGTCTCGAATCACCTCTGCTGAGGAAGCCCTACTCACCGCCTTCTCGTGGCGGTATTTTTCCACCTAAGTGAGAGGACAAGTAGCCGATATCCGGGGCTATAAGCGGTTCGGTGAACCACTGGTAGTTCACCTAGGGGAGTTAGCCAAAAACCCTGATTCCAAACCAACCAAGAGGAGGCGTACAAACCACACCAACACCTTTTCGGTTGTGGCAGTGGTCAGCGGCTCGAATGGGCATTGAAGGCACCTTGGGCGTTCGACCCAGTCCAAAGGGCGTATGATCCGATAAACTGGACACCGACCCCTAATGGATTGCGGTTTTCGCACACCGCCCCGCTGCCTTGCGGGTTAGGCCTTGGCTTTTTCCTTTAGGGGAAAGATGTACGTCACAACGGTTCGTAGTGTTCTACTTTACGGTTGTAAGATCTGACCCCTCCGCGTTGGGAATGCAAATTGAATTTCTGTATTCGACCACCCATGTCTCCAAGGCATTGCCCGTCTGGTGAGAACTATACACGTTACCTGGTGTGCTTTTTTCTTCCACGCACCAGACTCATTGTGTACAAAGTGCACAGATGCATACCGGATCAGGCCTGACTATACTAGTTCAAGTTCAAATTAAACTGCGGTAACTTCAAGTGAATCTGTTGACTGTATCCTAGTGGGAGACTCAGTGGCATAATGTGATTCATCTTACGGGCGTTGTGCGTCATCTGTTAGACCAGGCCTAAAAACATAGCAGCTACCTGAAATGCATTGATTTATCAGAGAATCAGGAATAAAACTGGAATGGACGTCTACGAAGAGATGGTGCATTGTGCACATAGCATATGAGCTCAGAAAAAAGAAGTTCCATTTCAGGAATGGTTTATTCCTGAAAAGATAATTACGCTTTGTACAGGAGCTACCGAGTGCGGGTAAAGGTTTTATAACGATTGTACATCCCCGCGGATGTTAGGCTTTTGGTTCAGTTATATATGTGGACGAAAGTGATTTAACCTGACTAAAATAGACCTCATTCGGTCGGGTAAAGCGAGTAGTGGTAATATATCTCGATAAAAAACACGACTCATGTTGAACTGTAAATGAACCGGTGCCTCCGTGACCCAGAGAAAACATTCAATCACATTGCTTGTGGAATTTCAATGAAACCGGTCTATTTCCCCGAACAGTACAGGTTCCGTGGAAACCGTTTTTGTTCCTGAGCATGGATTTCAGAAAGGAATGCAGGATGATAGGCAGACATTTTTGCGTATCTCAATGGTTATACTAGGCGAAGTTCGCATGCACTTTAAAAAAAGCGAATGAAAGGACTGCTTAGGATTTGAGGGATTGCTCAATAAAGATTGCGTAGTAATACATTGGAATGTTCGGATAAAACACCAATCAACATGCACTGCACAATGCAATTCCTTCTTGTAGTCAAATTGTTGAAATTTAACAAGAACGAAACGGTTGCAAACCAAACACACCTGGAACCTGAAGCCTTTTTCGCGATGATTCGGTGGTTATGCTTAAGGGTATCATATTTCTTCGTACGATGGCGATGATGATGTTTGAGGGTTGCAAATAGTTGCGCTCGTATATCTGTGCACTTTCCAGAAACATATAGTGCACTCGTATTCTGTATAGTTATCTTGCTAGTGCATGCAGCATGTTATTCCTTTGCACATTGATCAACCAAATCGGTAGCTGAAGAACAGCAACCAAAAGCAGCGCACGGAAGTGTACCTTAACTGAACTGAGATACCACCTTCGACGGCCTGGTAATGAGTGTTGAGAACACCCATTTAATGGTGACCACTAGGAGCCGTGTTTGCATGCGTTGAGCACGGACGAACGTTCATGGTCACACGATGACATTACGAAGGTCAATGAACAAGCTCACAGTTTTCTAGAGTGTACTTTCTTTCCGGCTTCCAGGCTGAAGAGTAGACAACTCTGATTTTCTCCGGTTAGAAACTGTGAAGGACAAATTTCGTATCGTGAAATGACGACGAGGATTTTTTTAGCGTTGACTTAAACAAAACCGTTACCACGCCAAATCATGCATGGTTCGACCACTTCTTCCAACTAAGCCCAGAAGTCGCATAAGTGTGGTATTAGTCTGGACAGTTTCAGCTTCAACTTGTACAATCACTAACCATGCACTTTCGTATGCCGGTTTTGGTTGCTGTCTTTTGGCTGCCCATTTGGATGAAGCAGTAGGAGAAAAACATCAACACTGAAAGTAGAATGGAATATAAGATTGAGAACTGCATCAAACTATGGCTGCGAAGAAATCGAGATGCACAAACGCCATTGTTTACGACACTCAACCACATGACTCAGTGTCGTTAACCATCGATTACGATCATCCCGAAGTTCTTAGACAGGGGGATAACGGGACCTATGAGGCCGAATCTATTGGTTAGGGGTTTT